TCATTTGGCAAATAAGGCCACCCAACTTCCCTAGATATTCGTCCCTTTTTAAACTGTCTTTCCTGGGGAGGCCGAAATTCCACGAGCGGGTAGGCATTTTGGGTCATAAGGAAGCATCTGCCTCCACAGTGAAGATGCCAAAAACGGTCTGGATATAGGCTGGTGAGAATTTTGAAAGTAGATCGATGACTCACAGTGCGACAGATCATTCATGCGACCTTCATTTCGCAGGCGCCTTGCCAAGGGGGAACACAAGGTTGACAAAAGCCCATCTTATGGTGATTCCCCCAAATCCCCGGGTGTAGCTTACTTGTTTGTAAGTGACATGGTTTTTCTTCGCTTTATTGCTATTTCTACCTTGTAACCAGAACAGAATCCAGGAGTTACCGTGAGCTCAATTCTGTTTTGCATTTTGAGGTAAATAAACTGCAGAAATCAGGCGTTGAACGACTGGATGGAATAAATCACCGGCGCTCTTAATTTACAATGGTCAGTTGACTCTTTCTAAACCGATGGAATTCAGAAGCTTTGTCAAAATATTTTATCTGGGTCCAAAGACATTGAGGACATCGCGAGGGGAGATTGTAGATCGATATGTTTGACCCAAATTTGAAGATGAAAAGTTGATTGCAGATCGAGTGGTCAACAATGTGTATTAACATGACCAAGCCATGTTTGCCTGAAAGTGTTCACCATTCTGTCGGAATCGATTAGTGATGCAATTATGTAACGTTTTTAACATGCGCGCTCGCAAATCTTAGCAACAAAAACCTAGACACCAGGGCGTTGCAGTTTCCATAGTCCACGGAGCGTTAGCCCAGTAGCTAACATTTAGCCGCTGTCCCACTGGTGGACGAAAATGACGCTTCTGAAATGATTACTGTTCGTGCGGAAGAGTCCCGCTAGTATTCCGGAGGACCATCGACTTGAGACGTTGAAAGGAAAGAGTCTCTATAGCCAAAGAGTTGCAAGGCAAAGGTGAGAAAGGGGTTGGAAGGGCGGCGTCGCACACTCCGAAGTCGTCGTCGTCGTAAACGCTGTCGCGGCTCGCGTCAAGCCGCGCCGGCGGAGTCTGAACGTGGACTGACCGGCAGGGACCGTGCGTTCCCGCCTGCGTGTCCCCATAAACCCACGTGGGTTTATGGGCTCCAGATGGTGGGAACCAATCGGCAGAGTTCACACCCACACCCAATCGGCAGAGTTCACACCCTCGCGGAGCCGCCGCCGCCGCGCCGGCAGCGACGGCCCGTTAGCTCGCTAACAATTACCTTCAAACACTTTAATCGACTAGTAATACAAGTTATGTGACGGAGTTTTGACCATGCGCACTCGAAAATTTTAGAAACAAAAGCCTCGACCCCAGGCGTTGCAGTCTCCGTAGGCCGCGCAGCGTCGGCCTAGCAGTTGATATTAAGTTGTGGCTAACGGGTGGACGAAAATGACTACGCCTCTGAAAAAAGTATCCTCGGACACTTCTTTACACCAGATCTTGCACTTAGAAAGTAGTCTGAGCGCATATTTCGCGTGTGCAATTTTTAGACTGATGTAAAGAACCGGTTGGCCCTTAAAGCACCGCGAAGTGGGACTGGAATCTGGTGGTTGAACTGGAAGAGTTAAGGTAAGATCTCTATTTTTGTGTCTTCTCGGCTATTTATGTATCCAGAAGACAGGTTGACACGGCACCTGCCGTCTGGTGGCATTTGCAATGGCTGACGCGGTTCGGTTTTACGGAAGCTGTAGCCCATGCCATCCTTGTCCACGCGCTCGAGGTTTTGGGCGGGCATTTTCAAAACTTTTAAGTTTTGTGTTTCACTAATCCATTCTGAAAAAAATAAACGCTCCCAGGCAAACATGGCATGACCTTGCTGATTTTTAAAATTTATTTCGATCCATCCTTGTCAACAATAATGAGACCCCCACTCTGCTCAACAATAAGATCCCTTATTTCCTTCCGGGTAAGGAGCCTCTTGAGTGGAACACCAGGGATATATTACCGTTCCCGGTCGAGGGCCGAAGAGCCATTCCGTCCCATCGCGAAGCATCTTCTGGTTATCATTCTGGTGGCACGGGGCGGGACCTCCTGGCTGATCCGGAGGGGATTAGCAGAGTCTACCATATCACATTGTTCCCATCCCTGGCACGGAAGGCCTTCTGACCCGCGCAGTTGGCCCCGGATCAGCGCAGGAACGCTCATTGACGCAACAACATCCCTGATTACCATAGGTAGTCCGATAGTTGTCACATAGTTTCCAATTCCGTGTTTTTCTGTGTTCTTCAGAGATGTTGAGTTCTCCCTGACAGTAGATTGTAGATGAGATGGGTTCCTTGTGTTGACACGGCTAACCCATGTTTGTCTTAAAATGCTCAAGATCCTGTCAGAGCTGATTACTGATAAGAAAACTGCGTAATATGGTGCTGAACATGCATGTTCGCAAGTCATAGCAATAACAGCCTCGACGGCCGGCGTTGCAGTCTCCAAGCCGTGCGGAGCGGGCCTTGCGGCTGTAACACTAAGCAATGGCCAATAGTAAACGAAAAAGATGATGCATCTTAAGAGAGATGGCTGGTGAACTATGTAAATCGGCATGCATGTTTAATGCAGTGCAAAAGTAAGCCAAACGCAACATTAATCTGAAAAGTGTGTGGGGGGGGGGGAGCAGGTAACATAGCTGGACCCCACCTTAAAAAGTGTGTAGGGGGGAGGGCGATGACCCCCCCCCCCTCTGCCCCCCCCCCCCCCCCCTGTTCCTACGCCCATGATTGCACCTCGATCACTACGGTTTCCAGCAATCGCGAACCATACACTAACTAGACGTTTATGAGCTGGCCACCAGATGTCAGTAGAACGCCGTTCCTGAGCACTCTATGAACGCAAAAGGTATTCAAGGCACCTTACAACCTTATCAAAATCATGCTTGTGCTTGATTTGATGAGTGTACAGGAATTTGATCAAGCTTCGCGGCAGATATAAGAAAATAAAAATTGATCTCGGTATCTATATTTTAACACGAATAACATTTGAGTTGGTTCTTGTTTTCAAGTGAATCGAGTTTTGCCAGATTGGAAATGAGCACCAGGTCGTGACAAAATGCGTCAAAGCACGATAGCACGATAGTTGTGATAGTTGAAAGAAATTCAATAGCCGATATTACCCATATAGAGGGTTTATGCGCTCATTTCAAACTTCGATGAATCCCGATGATACAAAACAGATCATTCAGCCCACACAATAAACACGGGCGTGTAGACACAACTGCGTATGCTCTAAGCTGGAGATGCCAAAGCTGTAGTCAAAGCTTTCACGGTTTTTTTTACATTACAATGCATGTTCTCCTTACATAACTTGAGAGCCCGTGGATGAGGGCTTGCTGTTCCACAGTATCTTCCCAGACGCGTGAGTAAAGCTGGCACCTTTCGCTGCATGGAGCGTGATATAACGCTGCATAGAGCGTGAGAACATACGCTTGTTTAAAAACTCTGGCAGTTCCGGGATCACATTTTTTGAATGTGTCACGACCAGTTTTGAAATTTAGACGCTGTTGCTACGCATTCTCATCTTGGTGACATTTATATTGACTTGCACCATGTTGACTCGACTGCTGGCGATGACACTGACTGGACTGTTGACGATGGCGCTGAAACGACTGTTGACGATGACGCTGACTCGATTCTTCTTGATTGAGGATCAGAGCCAAAACCATGCGAGGCAATTTGCTTGACTGAACCGCTGATATGAACCATACATTTGAAGGGAAAATTTGATTTGAATCACAATTCAGATCCATTTAGTGCCGACCGTGACCGATCCATCCATGTGGGACTGAATCAGGCGTAAGTACAGCCCAGCCGGCAACTTTGCTTATGCTAGGATTACATCATGGGTCTGCTTATTGTGCGAAACGCACCGTAGACGGAGCGATCACGTGACGAATCTTCGCTGGATGACGCTGTATTCTTGCAGCGATCACGTGACGAATCTTCGCTGGATGACGCTATATTCTTGCAGCGTGCTTCGCTCCCCAGCGCTGACAGCTGAACTCGGACGAAGCGCCGCTGGATGACGCTGTATTCTTGCAGCGTGCTTCGCTCCCCAGCGCTGACAGCTGAACTCGGACGAAGCGCCGCTGGATGACGCTGTATTCTTGCAGCGTGCTTCGCTCCCCAGCGCTGACAGTTGAACTCGGACGAAGCGCCGCGAAACGGCCGCCAAACGAGTCACTGACTCATCTTGGACTGAACCGTACATGGTCATCGATGGTTCACATGTTGGGTGTGGACTGCCTGCTGACCCGGCGCTGGCGAAACTAGTCCCTGGTCCCGCAAGGGCCAGGCGCGCCCAGGGGCCTCTGAAGTTGTCTGTAATGGTTTGGAGACGCCCGTGGTGCTATGAGCCTTTGGCATTGACATTGGCCATGGCACTGGGTCGTAGTGCAGGTGTGTGTGCATCGCAGCGCAGGTGACCTACGGTGCGGCGGTCAATGACGTGTATTTCATGCCACCGTGAAAAAGTTGCCCTTACGCGTATTGTTCACTCAGTACTAGCAAAACCCCTGCAGAGTTAGGGCAACCTGGCTTTGAAGTCGGTTCGCGCTGTTCATTTTCAGAGGCGGATTCTAACGCCCCGCTTGCGGCTAATGTATTCCTGCTGGGGAGCGACAGAAGGAGGGTTGTGACGCAGTAGGTTTGCGCCGCTCCAACATAATCAAAGCTTGTTTTTCTTCCAAATTACGGCGACGATTTCCGACATTTTGCACCCGCCATCCCCAATAGTGGTGTGCTCTCAAACAGTGAAAACACGAGGCCTGCTCAAAGGTTGCAAAAGATACAGCGCAACGGCGTGCGGCAATAAGGCCGTGCGTTTGTTGGTACCGTTTGACGTTTGCGCTCGGATCTGATGCAATCATACAACGGTCAAAGGTCACGTCCTGTTGTCACTTCTGTCAGAGGTGGACTTGTCCGTCGGGCCCCCCGACAGCGCCAGCGCATATACCTAGGGTTCACGCAGCCCACAAGCTCATACCGACCGCGAGTGACGCGTAGCACACAGCTCTGTAGTTTTCTGTCTGCATTGTTTCTATTCAGTGACAACCGGAACATGGAGTGCATGAAGACAGGTCTGTATGCTCATATTTTTATGCCCATACTGTTTTCACGCTGGCATGATTATACCGGTACCTGATATGAAACCAACTTGGAAAGGCACGAAAACTGGCATACGCATCAGAGAAGCCCAGATAGATCGTCAGTTCTATCAAAATAGTCGGCAAATCTTGCCCCAGACACGTTTTTGTTTCGTCCTCGTCTGCTCGCTAGTCATTTCACGTTTTTGTTTCGTCCTCGTCTGCTCACTAGTCATTTCACGTTTTGGTTTCGTCCTCGTCTGCTCATTAGTCATTTCACGCTTTTGTTTCGTCCTCGTCCGCTCGCTAGTCATTTCACATTTTTGTTTCGTCCTCGTCTGCTCACTTGTCATTTCGCGTTTCTGTTTCGTCCTTGTCTGCTCACTAGTCATTTCACGTTTTTGTTTCGTCCTCGTCTGCTCACTAGTCATTTCACGTTTTTGTTTCGCCCTCGTCTGCTCACTAGTCATTTCACGTTATTGTTTCGTCCTCGTCTGCTCATTAGTCATTTCACGTTTTGTTTCGCCCTCGTCTGCTCATTAGTCATTTCACGTTTGCGGTACTTGATAACCTGGCTGCATAGGAACGCATTGACAAACGCAAAGTGACAAATATATAAGTAACGACTAAACAAGACGCTTTCGTTGTAAAAAAGCCGGCAATTTTGACAGAATTAAACACAAAAGTTGAGTTTTCTATCTGGTTTATCTTGGTTTTGTGAAATCAGATTTGGTTCTAAATTAGGTCTATGTCTCACGATGCTACCTTGTAAAGGGCTACTGTACCATTTCCATGCCGTCATATGACATGCCAGCCGATAAATAAAAAGTCCTCCATATATAAAAAATATATGCACATATGCACACACACACACACACACACACACACACACACACACACACACACACACACACACACACACACACACACACACACACACACACACACACACACACACCACACACACACACACACACACACACACACACACACACACACACACACACACACACACACACACACACACACACACACACACACACACACACACACACTATATATATATATATATATATATATATATATATATATATACCCTCATGAAAGCGTAGTGTGACCAAGTTAATTTAAGTATCGCAGTAGTTGCACTTGAAGTCAGATTGCCATTATAGCTGTTTTCCGACCTTTGTAAGCGGTGCCAGGTCCGCGTCCGTGCGCCCATCCCTGTTTGCATGTCGCTGCTTTTTTTCCATTTACTACCGTGCGGCATAAAAGTCGGAATCCCAGAGTGTTGAAGGAGAAATATCTTACCTTCCACTGCCATCCACCGTATAGCTGTCAACAAACGGGGTCTCTATAGCGCATGGAGAACGGACTCGCTGATTCCCGATTTTTTGCCCTATGCACTATTCAGTACGCGGCCTAGAGGGGTACATGGCGAGAGTGAAAATGTCCGAACATTGGGTCCATGCTTACTAACGCCTTACGCTAAGCTTCTGTAAACTATGTAAACGATCGCTGCTATGTCATTTACTGGTCAGTGTCGGGAGCGCTCAACACTGAGGCTGTGGTAAAACGCTACGACTTGGTGAAAAGGTCGGCAACAAAAATAGTATTTCATGAGGTGCCACTTGGTGCTAAAAGTGTTTCTGGCTGAAATTCGTTTTACGTCGGCCACGACAAAATACTGCAGCACACGTTGCACGGCACAACATGCGGCTTCCATAGCAACGCGTTGCGTCACACAATACTAGCACACCTTTACGTCAAGGCCCTTTACCGTACCTTACATCACCATGGTATCGTTGTCAGGCTTCACCCCATCCCGGCAACAACAGTACCTTACGATGTTCAGTTGGTCGCTCGACTCGGTGGCGGGTCGACGACAAATCAGTGCATTTCCAACGGCCCGCACAATCAGCCGATTCGCTGTTTCCACCAGCCAGCTATGGGCGGCCCATATAAGGACAGTAGAAAATGCTGAAAAGCATCTGGAGACGGCGCTTCATCTGGCCGCGAGGGTACGTTTCAATCGTTGCGATGCGGAGGTGCGCGGTGGCTTTCATTGCCATGCGACTTCGCAGGCGGCAGCTTCATAAAGAGCCACGTTGAATTTGTTTGACGTTGCTGATTTCGTTGTCGATGTCGCGATAGAGCGTCATGTCCTCATCGACCAGAGGCATGGGCATTTCAGAATAAGTCGGTGAGATGATCTGATGGAATTAGACAGTGACCTACGGTTATCTAGACTGCCTTTTCATAGCACAGAAGAGGCCGTTGACGCACCATAGCAGTTGAAAGCAACCATACTTACCTCCTTACAACAGAATCGTGGGTTCCATTTTGGAGGGCGATGACATTGGCGCAAGCAAATGGTTGGGAGATGAAAGTGGCTCTACAGGGACAATTTATGCCATTTTTCTTTTGAATCTATGTCCTCATATCAGTTGCACTGATATTGAGCGGCAATTTATTTCAGTAAGCATCGTCAGCTTGAAAATGCCAATTTTTACCAGTTGGACCTTTTATTAATATCAACCATGGCTCATAGACGTGAATATGATGGGCATTAGCAAGAGGCGTACCCAAGGCTCAATGGAGGAGCAGTCTTTTGCCCCTAACCCAAGATTTTTAGTTCAGATAACAGGAAATTGTGCATGATTTGGTTGCACACAATTGGCCTAGGGTTCAGTGAATATTTGACGTCCCTGTGACGAAAATTATGGCTACTTACCTGATACAGGACTCCTAATATAACAGGAATGGCTCTAGAAGAAACATTTTGCAAGGCTTCTTACCTAATATTGTCTGTGCCCCCATGAGCATAATACATGAATGCGTGTACTTTTGATATTTTGTAGGAGAGAACCGATATGATTTGCCTGGAGGAGGCATTGTACCGGAGGTATCTGCTTATATAAGAGGTGAGGAAGGGAGCCAAAGGCCTGACGATTTCTTCTCCCCTGAAGATGCGCTTATCAAGAGGTTTAGACCACTTTGCTTTAACGAGGGACACCTGTCATTTTATTTGCTTCTCATTGATTGAAAACTCTTTTATTTTGAGCAGTATAGTTATCATAGACAGCAAACGATGCCAAGAGAACATGAGCTCTGCGTCATCCTTATTTTCTTCCTTAGGTTTGCTAATGTTTGAACAGGAAACATGGCGGACGGGGGGGAGGGGGCAGCACAGAAACAACATTGAGAGACCCCAATTAACATTGGCAGGGGACAGGATTCTAACAAAACAAAAAACAAAAAACAAAAAAACAAAAACATCTGAATTGATCTTTCCGGACTATGTACGTCGAGTATCACAGGTTCCATTAACCTGTTTATGATTTAGTGTACCTTATTTAGTGTATTAGTGTAGTTAGTGTTTTTAGTGTGATTTAGTGTATTCAGTTATTTAGCCTATTTGGTTTGATGATCACGGTGGTACCGATGCGTGTCTTTTGGAATGAAAAGTGCCATTATCATGCACCAGCTGATTCCCCACAATCGGAACGCGCATTCGTTAAACAGCTGGTGTAAAATACATATAAATATGTCAAGAAAAGTGATCAGATATATTGCTTAAGAAAGGTAGCACGCTGCCATGAAACCACCCTTACACTTAAATGCAATTTACTTGCTTCATGGCAGTTTTCACGGCGCGGCAGTACATACTTTTATTAGTCTTTATAACAACATGTTTTAGTGGCAACTGACTGAATTGACCTGATCTGCGCTAACCACACTTAGAACGGGTGATTAAAAATGTTATTTATTCACAATACCAATGCTGAGCAAATTAATGAGATATGTGTACCGATATCTTGATTTGTATTCAATGGTGCAAAATCATGCTTTGCATCCTCCTACTTCAGCCAGATAACCCTGCTATCTATGATAACAAAATAGCAGCCAAATGCCAAATAGTTACAGAGGCTGCTGATATTTAATAACATACAACCAAAGCTTGGACAGTATCCGGCCTATCGGGAGGGTACCAAATATCTACTATTCGGAGGATACCCAAGTGGCGATATATGTAGGCAAGCTGCCTCCTGCCTCCTCTGGCTGAGAAAAATAAGGCTGATGCTACGGAGGAGCTAGCGGCGAAAGCAACGCACGCTAAAGCCAAAAAAGTTGGGCACCGTAGTCTTGTCAGAATATACAATATTTTTCAAGCTTTGGGCTGCAACCGTATCTTGTTAACATATTTTTGCTGAATGTGAAATAAATATATGAGCAAAATAATTGGTGCTTTTCATAAGGCAGTACTTTTAAGGGATACCAGGAAAACCAAAGTTCACTGCAAGAACTGTACGATCAAACCAGAAATACTTAAGCTTTGCAATGTAGGTAAGATCTCTAGTTTGTGCTAAATATGCCACAAGAGTAAAGGTATTTTATGTTTCAATATACGTTGTGTTCATATTTTTTGCAAGATAGTCTTAAGAAGTCGCCCACTTCAATTATACTGGCAGTATATATCGGCCGACAGTGAACAATTTTGTATATTCCATAGAGACTGGTAGAAAGTTTCAAGAACCGGCTTCGAAGGCCCACTCTTTCAATTATGAACCTGCCTCACCGAATGAGCTACTGAGACCACAAGATACGCCACAAAAGTCGAAAAATTCCCGACGCATAATTTGCACGAAAGCCTGTACCCGATCCACCGAGGGAGTTTTGCTTCGGTACACAATAAGGGCAGTGGATCGGCTCAAGACCAAAAAGGAATATTTTGTTTGATGCCGGGCTCATCAAAACTGATCTGATAAAATTTGATTCACAACTCTGTGAAAAGCAGGCCCTGAACGCCTTAACCCTATGGGCTAGTAGGAAAAGTTGTGCTAGTAGGAAAAGTTTTGAAAGTGGAACGGTTGTGCTGCTAATGTACTTTAATGGGGGGCTGAGTGCTCTTAGCATTAGCCCTCATAAAATAACTGGGAGAAAGGAGAAAAAATGCATTCATATTTTAGCTATATTTCTTCACCAAAACGATGAGTAGTGACATGAGTATCAAAATATCTATCTCTCCCTTCTTCTGGTTATTCGATGAGGAATAATGCTAACCATGCTACCTCATGTTAGTGAGGAATGCTCCTCCCAAATGCATTCCACAACCTACTGATTCGGTATTTTCTTTAAACATTTTTGTGACCTCACCTTTCTCTGACCCTAATGAATAATTCTTTCAGGACACTCTCACTACCTCTCGCCCAGCATTTGCGCAGCCGCGTTCAACTCAGTCTGAGCCCGCCCTGCAACCCAGTATACTCTTCATTCCTTCTAAGGCGCATAAACCCACTTTAGACGGGTATATACCGACTGCCGGGGTGCGGCGAAAGGCGCCTAGGCAGGCCGCACATGTTCCACCAGGCTTGAAGCTTAGTAGCTTGAAGTATTAGTATTAAGGCTTAAAGCCTTAAGTATGGCGGAGATATGATGGTAGTTGGGTTTGGGCTCGGTGCATACACGAGGCTTTTGTAAGGTGACAAGGCCTTGCATGAACCCGAGCATCGGATTTCATCTCCTAGTGCAGCCCGCCACCGGTTCCGATTCCGTCATGTATTCAGGTGCCCTAACTGTCGAGATTCCTCGCATTTTTCGTGTTTGTGGGAGCGAAGTCAGCCGCAGGTCAACAGTAAACCTGAATCCTCGTCAAGTTTCGAGGGCGGAAGAAATCTCCTTTGGGATTGGACTGTTCCCTAACCTGAGAAAACGCGCCCGCTTTCCTCGAGGCAGCAGTTATTCTGGCATAAGTCGAATGGCATTGCATAAATGGGCGCTCCAGCTGCGTACGTATATTGGAAAGTGGGGGTGGTGAGAGAGGCTCTCGGTGCTCGTCAAGAAAACCCAGAGCATGATTGTGCCTCCGAGCATAGACTGCATCGCCAATTTGTCATATCCTATTGACGATGCTGTCGACAATTTTGGAAGGAATTCCGTCGGTGACAGAATGCAAATATTTGAAACACCCCTGCAAACACTACTGATGTTCATAGCATGGATTTTCGTTACGAAATCCCATTTTATTTGCAGGCGCCGCATGGGTTTTACTGCTATTGGTTGCATTGACTGAAGCCAATGTCCCAACTGGCCTGGATTTAAAGCTGCTGAAGGCTTTGACGAGCAGTCTGAACAAGAACCAGGCCGTCGCTCCGTTCGTCATATCCTCACTGATGACGCAGGTCTGGCTTGGAGCCAGGGGCGACACCAGAAACGAGGTACGTGCCAGGTGACGAACTCTGCACACCGTATTACTGGCTTAGATCACACACGTACTGACGTGCCGTCTGAGATTGTCCAGTACACGCACATGTAGCGAGAATGCTGAGCCAAGCGGGTGCAAGATTGCTTTTCGGCTGCTTTGCTAACTGCCAATCCATTGGACGGCCACAGGGAGCCGTTAGCAGGCCCGGCTGGCCCGTTGTGGAAGGCTGGTGTTGTTGAAAAGTACGTGCGCACGGATTCGAGCGTAGTATTTGGGATGCCTGCAAATCCGGTAGACTGTCGACTTCACCACGATCACGGATTGATACAGATGCTAACTTTTTGCACGAGTCTGGGTTGCGGCCTTTTAAGTGACACGCAACTAGAACGCGAGAATAAAACACGGTCATGGATTTTTTTGGGGGTTTTGTCGGAAACCAATAGATGCAACACGTAGCAAATTTTAAGTATGTGGAAGTTTTGCCAATACACCGATAATATAGGAATTAAGTGTGTTCTCAATGTATGGCCATAAGTTATTGGATTTCTGTTCGCCATCTCCAGGATTACTTAGTTAAATGGAGTAGTAATGTGCTACGTGAGGCATTATCTGGCCATCAAGCTGTCTGGAAAACCATGACAATTTTTAAGTCTTGCCACGTCATTGGGAGGTTTCCAAGCACGTAGGAAATCGGCTTAAGACTGTGTATCCTATCGTAAAAATTAATTTAATGACGTTTCAAACAAAATGAACTACATTTACTACATACCCAGCCGTAACAACAATTTTGGGACTGCATATGTCACGAGCCGTCAGCTGATCACAAAATCGCTGGTCAGCCGCCGGTCCCGGGTCGGCTTGTGGCCGACCTGGCTACCGGCTAGCCGCCATCACTGTTGGTGGGCGATTACACAGATGACAAGCCTTCAACAGCCAATCGATAAATTTGTGGCAATTTCAATGGAGATTTATGTGGCAGCTGCAACACATGTCACACAGCATTCTCCAGCTACGTACGTGTTTCGGTTTAATGAAGCTCTGATTGCCTCCGTTTTGACGCTACGTAGCTAATTTTCTCGGGAAACCCAGTGTAACTTGCTGTATGCTTGTGTCAATTTTCGAAGTATGTCCTGAGCATTACAGAAAAGAAAACAACGTTGGAACATTTGGGAAACGAACTGCTTGATCAAGCTGAATGCTTAATGTATAATTCCACAAAATGGCTATCGACCATTCATTAAAAGTAACATCAGCGCCCTCTGAATAGATCGCTGCATTACTCTGTATGACTGCCTTGCCGACAGATGACACCAGTCCTGGGTATAGAGACAAGCAAGGGATATTGCTTTTTGAAAGGCTACATGCATGCAATCGAAGAACTCTCCAGCGGCATTAGTAATGTCACTACCGGCGTCTTCAATCGTATTTACTTAAGAGATAACTTCAACGTCAAGTCGAGATTTAAGCTCCTCCTGCGCCAATTCTACAGTGCAGATGTCAAGAAGTTTTCTTCGGCGACGCTGGCGGCCAATGAAATAAACGCCGACGTGGCTAAGGTTACAAGAAAACGCATCCAGAAACTAGTCCAAGCAAGTGCTCTGGAAAACGCGGCTCTGGTCCTGGTCAGCGCATTGTACTTCAAGGGCTTGTGGCTGACTCCGTTCGACAAGACCGTGAAGGAGCCGTTCCTCACGGCGTCAGGGGACAAGCAGGTCGACATGATGAAGCTTGAAACCCGGGTGCCGTATGTAAAGATGTCTAATTTTGATGCGATCGCCTTGCCGTACACGGACAAAAACTATGTTATGCTGATCTTGCGTCCACTGACACGTAACATGGCTGCCGTTTCCCGTCTGAGGGACTCTCTGGACTCCCTCGATGTCGCCGATATCATGAAGCGTTTGCGTTCCTCGTCCGTACAAATAAGTATGCCTCGTTTCAAGATGAGAGCAAATTACGGACTAGTGGGAACCATGTCACAATTGGGAATCCGCAAAGTCTTCACGCGGCAGGCAGATCTGGGTAACATTGCCGATAAGCCGCTAGTTGTTGACAGCATCATCCACAAGGTGTTTATTGAGGTGACGGAAAAAGGCACTGAAGCTGCCGGAGCGGCAGCTGTCGTTATCGGGATTACAAGCCTGCCGCCTCCACCCATTCAGTTCACTGCAGATCGTCCCTTCTTTGCCATGGTCTGGAACAAGAAACACAGGATCAACATGTTCGCCATGTTCATGACTTCACCGTAGACGTTTGGCTAACGCTATGTGAGCTGATCGCGAGCGACTTTTGTTGCACCCGTTGGTATTTTGTGAATAGTTTAAGCATGCTTTGGGTGCATTTCATGTTGCACCTGCTTTCGTTATAGGTCACGCACTGAATAGGAGACCTATTACCATTCACGTTGTGACACCCAAGTGGAAGGTTGCAAAAAGTCCTCTGATATCACAGCCGTGCCGTAGCCTTTAGGTTTCACTTGCCAGAGAATACTGGTGCGAATCTAGAAAAGGGTGTGCTCCATTAAAAGACACGTCAGCCCAATCTGAGTTTGTAAAATTTGCACAGTAGTTTTCTATCTTTAGAAGACGATGTTATGATTGCTTGCTGTGTATTTCAGATTGCTTCTAGTGCATTTCAAGCAGAACTGTTTGATGAATCTTTTCGTCTTGCGATGCACCACTGTTTGGTACAATATACCTTCCCCTCGTATTTGCGTCCGTGAAAGTGTCTGATTTGGATGCGATCTCTCTGCCGTGCCGCGATCAATGCTAACTTCGGCTCGACCGTCACCAACAACCAGGCCGCGTCCATCTGACTCATGCGTCTACTGAGGGTGCGTCGTTCTTACCCTGCGTCTACTGGCACACAAAATGACTGACCCCTCGCGTCATTTGATTGACTGTACGAATGCCACTGATGCCGTCAATATCATGAAGCGTTTGCGTTCACTGTCTGGTCAGTTGAGCGCGACTCGGTTCAAGATGATAGCGAACTACGAACTGAAGAAACCACATTCCATTTGCAAATTTTCAGACTTTTCACGTCGGTGGAAGATCTGGTTGAAATTGCCAGCGGGTTACAGACCGTCTACAGCATCATCCACAAGGTAAATATGCCGGTGAAAGGGTGAGGAGAAATGAATGGACGCTGCTGGAGCGGCAGTTATCACCTTCGGGACCAGGAGCGTGCAGCATCTGCCCATTCAAGTGCGCTGCGAATCGCCCTTTCTTTGTCCTTGTCCGGAACAAAAGCCAAATGATGAACTTGTTCTCTGCGCACGTTGCTTCACCATAGACGCATGGTAAACATTCTGCGCTCTGTTTTTAGACAGGTCATATGACGTTTATTTTATTAGTGCCGATCATTTAAGCATGTCGTAAGTGCATAATTTGCTACAGCCCCTGCCAATATGGCCCCGTGCCAGTATGAATGCCCAGCGTTGTACAAGTTGAAGCAACCGATTGGTAAATTGGAAACGATTTGTAATGTATAATGATGTATGCTTTATATTTCACTTAACATATAAGCTGGGGTAAGGGTAGGAAACCGTTCGCCACTGGCAAACACAGCCCACACTGGGGTAAATACTTCTTGTTTACCGTTGCGTCAGCTGTTTAAAATAATGTAACCACTCTTTGTCTTTCAAGATTATTGTGGTGTTGAGGGAAACGTTTGAAGAGAAAGGAGCACAGGTGTGCGTCATTTGGCGCTTCAGCTAGGTACCTTTTCCGAGAATATCATGGCATGATGTGCTGAAGGTAACGATATGATATAAACATACGATATGATGAATATGATCCAATACATGATGCTCTTATTCCATTAAGGCGAGAATGGGCTTCATTCACAAACCTATCTGGTAACTCTTCAAAATTCTCAGACTGTTGGTTACATGATTTACAACCATCTGTTGTCCGCATTGACCCACCCTGCCGGACAGGGCCAGACAGTGAAGGGAACCGGGAGGCGTGGTCTCGACATCTGGGGAACAGTGCCAGAGAAGGTCGTCTGTCTGCGGTCCCCTGAAGTGAACAGGAACATGGCATCACGGATAGCTATTTACGGGGCTGTGGCTCAGGTGGTAGAGCGCTCGCTTAGCATGTGAGAGGTACGGGGACCGATACCCCGCAGCTCCAAAAATGGAAGCTTTGGCACACGGGACATGTGTGGGAGGAAGTTTAGGGGTGAGTGGAACACTGCGAGCTGCACACATTCTGTATGTTTTTACGCAAGCTATCGAGATATTGCAATGTGCGACGACAATAACGTACTTGAGTTTAAGAGCCCAGTGCCAAGGCGATTCTTTAGCTTCATTCCATACATAACTCTATTGAAAACGCAGCATTTGGGGCTTCGGGGTATCGCTCTCCGTGCCTCTCACATGCCAAGCGTGCGCTGTAACCAATTTGAGCTCCAGAATTCTCTGCTATCGGCTCTCAAATGTGGAAATTATGCTCCGCTGTCTGCCCCGCTGGAGACCCCATTCCGGAGTGGCGGGCGGCGTAAGCAGCGCAGGATGGTCTACACCCTTTTATTTTCAATGGACCAAAGTTTAGTTCCAATTTAAAGAGTGTTCATGCTGAGATGACTAAGGGTTCATGCAAAATAATACAGTCTCATTGCACAAATATCTTCACAGAACTGATAGCATTTAAAGCACGATCACTTCTCGGACAGAATACATTTAATGACTAAACTTCTGAAAATGAAGTGTCCGAAATCGAATGCTTTCCCCTTTTTATTTTGTGGTAAAATTTAAGTGTAGCCCGAGGCCCGGAATATGACCCATATATGGTCAAAGCCCTCATGACTTGATGGCCCTTTCATGGTGATATCCTGGAGCCACTAGTACCCACAGCATCGCTGCCAACGCCCCTTCCACGCGGGTTTCGCCTGTGTTATGCATCCTATGCATCGCTTTTTCCAAAAACACAAATTTATCGCCCTACCGTAGTACATGTTTATCTTCAGCTTAAGTTTCAGTACTTGAAACAAAATGGCCTACCTTCCGAATGAATTTACGTCCAGAGTTCATCACGCTTAAGTTATCGTTGCGTTTTCGCTACCATTTAAGGGCAGCTATGTCACTTTTCAAGGGTGGATAACCGCCAGCGCGGCAGCGGGGACCGGGGATCATGAGCTCTGACAGAAATGTCGCACAAAGGCCACATGATGCAACCGGCCGGCCATCGGCACCGAGCCGTGCGCTGCGGCCGTCGGACCGCTGACAGTCAGGATTCAGGCGGCGACACATTTCTGTGGGGCCTGGACTCCACCGAGTGAGCGCTGCTCGGCGGTGGCTGCCGTTGCCGTTCTGCGGAGCAGCTGCTAGCGGCCATCACGCGACGGCTTTACCCCAGCCTGCATCAGCAGGTCACCAGCATCGAAGTCATGCTGCGTTCAAAGCAAGGTAAGTCCAAAGCGATATTCTGCGCGCGCAATTTTCTTACGACTCTGACACTGGCACGGGTGGCCAGCTGGTTACGACACGCTCGGGTTGGGGTGGGGCAAATTCGACCCTTTAGGGTCTGAAAAAGGGCCATCTAGAGAACCATCTAGGGGCAGCTAGAGAACCCAATGGACAGGGCAGTGTAAGACAGGACAGATAGGACAATAGGTCCATATGGACTTCCTTTTTCGGACGTTTGACCTATCCAGGTTGTACAACTTTGGATCAAATAGGCCAAAACGTCATATTTTGCAGAGGTTATAATTGCATTACTTGCGCCCATGAACTGCTGTATCATGCTATTGCCGAGGCCATGTTCAATAAAGAGCAATAGTGGCTATGTCGTCTTGTCTTATAAGCGGATTGCATGTCGCGGAATGCGGCCATCCGGAGATTACATCCATATCTATTTCCACGCAACACGCAACTTGCGAGTGAGAGCTTTGCTTAGTAGTTGTGGTTGTAGTAGTTGTGATTGTAGTAGTTGTGGCTGTAGTAGTTGTGGTTGTAGTAGTTGTAGTAGTAGCAACTTAGTTTTGGACTGCATGGAGGACGGCGTACAGCACTCTACTCTACGCAGCGCGGTTGCCATCTTCGACGCCCAACTCATAGAGTGACCTAATGGATGAGTTTAAAGTATCTCATATTTTTACGTAATTTGTTTCACATGTTGATTCGTAGACGTCCTCATTTGTGTTTTTTTCCCTCGTTTTGATTCACCCTATTTAACTCCTAATTTTATTTCATATTTAACCTAGTTTCCCAGTCAGGGCTTAAACGCAGGGCTTTCAATGACGTACACATTCCTTGTCGTCGCAGGTGTCCAACAATTGGCACAGAGGCTCCATCCAGCCCAGCAAAACGAACCCTGTCTGAAACGAGTTCCCGTTCTATACTGGAGCTTCTGACTGCCACTGGGGCATTCCAATGCCTCCTTTGACCTCTCATCGTACACTCTCAAATCCACTTTCGTTGTCAGATGGCCCTCCCAAAACACAAGACGCCCTCTTACATTCGGGGTCCGGTTTCTATCCTGTTCAGCAAATGCTACCCTTGCCGGCCCAGGTCACTGTCCGACATAGGACCCTCTGTTCGGCACTGTGGGGGCCTGATCCACACCGGAGCCGTATTGTTTCAGGGGTCCCGCCGATGTAAACCGCGGGTACCGACCGTTTCTCTGCTATGGGAATGGGCCCCCGGGCTCAGACTGACACGGAGCAGACTGGTGTGGTGGTCTGGTGCAGACTGGTGTTGGTGGTCTCTGACCAATATAGAGGCCCGCATCGTCCTAGGGTGTTCCACATTGGCACAAGAGGCCCCATGACTGATACTCTCGGGCCCAGCCATGCGGGTCGGAGTCCTCAATTTATCTCTGCCAGCTCTTCGTGCCCTCCAATCAAGCACTTAATCGTCAGGGCCGAGGGTATTTCGGTCCCTCTGCAGGCCCTAACGGACACTGCCCCTACCCAATTTGGGGTCCCTTACCTATACAGGATCCTTGTCAGGCACTCGGATTTTCAGACCGATACGGGGGTCCCTCATTGACTCGGGGGCTCGGCCAATGTAAATCGTTGGCCCGGCCTTACCCCTGCCTGAAAAATGGGCCCTGAGTCTCAGGCCTGACGCTGAATAATCTGCCGGTGAATACGCCTCCACCACAGCAATGCAACTTCGCAACATAGGCCGGGGGGTTGAGCGGGGAAAATTAACCATGAATACGCTAAACAATACGTTTCCTCCCCGGAGTTGGCCCACTTTTTGCTTAACGTTATGGACTTTGAGTCCCCCAAACCGAATAAGGAGCTACACCCCTACTCCAACACGCTTCCTTGTTCCATCATTGCGGAAGATGTTGACATTGGGCATCATCGTCATTTTGATTAGCGTCGATTGGCGGAAGCAGGTTCCGGCAATAAGCGTGGGGTGATTTTTTTTGGCTTCAGACGTTCTTAAACGTGTGCAGGGTCGGAATTAACGAGTACAAGATGTGTGCGACTATTAAAGGTTGCCACGCCCCCCCCCCCCCCGATGGTAAGGCGCAAGGCGGGGTGCTGCAGCAACTCTCACCATCCTCGCTATGCACGTTGTCGGGCGATTGCCGCTATAACATTGGTCGGCTGGTGTCGGTCGTCGGGTTCTCGAAGCTGTTTCCATCGATTATTCAACGTCAAAGTGGAGGTCAGCACATTGCAAGGGTTCCTCCAAATGTAAACGGCTGATAACCTAATTGCGTTTTTGGGTCCCATTTCGACCAGCTTCAGTTTTCATAATATGATAAAATTTGGAAACAGAATCACGCAACTTCTT